TTACTACCCTATGATACACATTCATATATTATCGACAAGATTGTGAGGTTTAATTGTAAATTGTCATCCTCAAGTAATCTGATAGAAAATGTTTCAAGATTTTCTGATCATATGAATTTAAGAGTAATTATCTTCCCCTCTAACATATATTCACATTGTAGTCTCATCAGTTCCGGTAAAACGATCGCGTGTTATACAAGTGAGAGGTTTAGCTAGCTATAAAATCAGGTTCAATCCACCGTTTTCTACATAAGAAAATGCCTGTACCAAGTCAGGAATATGACAGTTATCCATTCGTTTGATGTGTATAAGCTTTTGATTTTGCCATTTGATTAGGGACTTTCCTTTTTGAATTTTCCTCGGAGTTCAGTATTTTTGTGATTTTACTTTTTGCAATATTTTGACAAATTATTAGCTCGAAGTTAATCTCAACCTTAAAATATTTAAAAAAAAGAAGATACAAAGGGAACATTCAAAAGTCGAGAGATAGTGACAACGCCATGACAAAAAAAGTCGACGAAAAGAACAGACAAACAAGTTTACAAAACGCTACATAAAAAACTAAAGACCTAGCAACACGAACCCAACCAAAATCTGTAGCTTACTTCAGCTGCAAAAGCACCCTGCTCAGATATTAAGCATGATCGCCACAGGTAACAAAAAGATAGTCCTTCAAAATCCTATTGAAAAGGAATAAAAAGTTTAAGTTGGAACTATTGCAAACGATTTCTGGAAAAATGAACTCTTGAATATTTGTTACCATACATTTTTTTTTATTAAACACATACGATATCTAAACAATTCCCAACCGTCATCAAACATTTATTATTAAGGAAAGAATTGATCATAGCATCCTTTAAAATGTAAGTTCCAACTATGCTTTGACCATATGAAAGACATGATATGACTCATTTCTCTAAAGTCTGCCATTAACCTGGAATAAGTTTTATTTTTATTTTTTTTTTTATAAATGAAAGTTGTATCGAGCAAATCGCTAACTCTTGTGAATGGAACATTAGGGAGTTAAATTAAAATGACTAATAAATGATTTTTATGTTTTGATCATGTCTGTTTCAAATTTGTTTATTTGGAAATCGAGCAAAAAATAGTTTTCCACAACAAGTAATCTTTGCCTTTCATTCTTTTCTGTTCTCGATTTTTTTATGATTATAGAATACTTACGATTTAATTTAACCATTAATAACATTAAGGCAAAATAAGAGGTTGGCTGATACAGGCCGATATGATATAGTTTTCAGATAAGAATATATAGTAGTTGCAAACTGTATATGATACGTTGACATACATATTTCAAAAATAGCGATAATAAGTTGTATTTTGTTTAGCTTCTTGATGGGCGATTTAATGGAATATTATTATTTATGGCATAATAATTGGTTATTTCTGAAGCTATAGAAGACCCTCAAGTACTTTTTCTTCTTTATCGCAGACTAAAATATACCAATCCTGTATTGATGTATCATGTTTTGGTGCAGTATCATCTCAGTCAGTGTTATTTATTTCTAGTCACGTGTCTGGTCATTTTCCGTTAAATATTGTCTATTAAAAGTATCGGAAAATCTGTTAAAACATGAAATAGATAGGTGTCGCAGTGTTTTATATTGGTAAGAACTTTTGTTTTATTTGCTCAACTTTGTGGAAAAGTATAACAAAAATACCGAACTCCAAGGTAAATTCAAAAAGGGGGAAGACCATAAAAACTGACAAAATCATTCATGAGACTCATCAACCAAAGGAATGAATGGAAAACAACCGTCATATTCCTGAACTGATACCGGCATTTTCTGATTAAAATGGTAGGTTAAACCTGGTTTTGACAATCATGCAAACTCGGTAAAAGCGTACAAAATAGTTCATTAAGTTCATCAATTACATCGAACTCACAACCTCAGTGTTGACTGGCTAGTGATTACAGAAGTAACTATTTAGACCACTCGGCCATCGAGGCCCCTCATACGGAGTATATATTTCCCAGTTGATACGATATTCCAGGGCTTGTATTTCCTATCATGATTTCCTTGATAGAGGGTTACTGCTCACAAGGAAGCTATTAAACCAAGAGTTCCAAGTGGTAAAGTTGAAATCATCCCTTCATGAGTTGGTTGACCGTTATGGAATATCCGTTACACAGATGACAGCGGATATGTTCCAATTGTCGTAACTACAATCCCGTCCCCCTTTTTTCACCCGATTGTGACCTACCGAATTTGACTTATTACCGGGTTTGTACTAACATGAGCAACACGACGAGTGCCACATTTGGAGCTGGATGATCTGCTTACCCTTTCGGAGCACCTGAGATCACCCCCAGTTTTTAAAGGTTCGAGTTGCTCAGTCTTTGGTTTTCTATGTTGTGTTTTGTGAACTGTTGTTTGTCTGCTGGTCTTTTTCTTTTTTAGCCATGGCGTTGTCAGTTTATTTTTTACTTATGAGTTTGAATGTCCCTTTGGTATCTTCCGCTTCTCTTTTATTCATACATTCAGTTAAGAATTTTGTGTAACTATATTTGGTAGGGAGTTGATATATTGGTTAATCCTTTACAATTAGGGATGATGATGATGTTGTAAAACGACGATAAAAAAAAGTTTTACAGTTTAACAGAATTACACAAGATGGTTAAATGTTAAATTATCGGAAGTAGTTGGCATGTTGATAGTTTGATAGACTTAAGTTTTAATAGCCATATGTAGAAATCTCTATTCTTTACTTTGAAAACGTTTTACCGATGTAAAACTCTTTGTGATAGATAAAATGTTTCAGTGTATTTGATACCTATAGTTTATTCAAATATATAACAATAATGATTACTTTTATACATTTATCATATAGAAGTTAATGGAAGTAAAACATTGCAGTATTCTCAAAATCAGATTAGATATATATAATGCTGCTGACTACAATTATCATAAATAGATAATGTTTGATATCACCAGAAACTAATTGAACTATTTCAGTAATGTAATAAAGATGATGCCCACATAATTACTAAGCTGAAGTACCTATAAAACAGTTTGACTAAAGATAGAACTACAGAAATAGATATGACGAGGAATCTAAAGAGCTCTCTATTGAAAGTTCAATATGCTTCAAAGAACCTATCAATCATTTGTAATTAAGTTTGTTTACACCTGTAATTGTTGTACATAGTTGAAATACTTGCTTGGTAATACCTGCGTGAATCAGCTGATCGAGATAATAAATGTCACGTCTGCTGTGGTCATTTTTAGCACGGAAGTAATTAAGTACCGTTGATTAAATACAGGTTATCTTCCCCTACTTAACCTTGGTGTAATATATCACACGTAAAATGTTCTTGAAATGCCAAGAACATGCTAAGTTGTTGATTAATAATGGTAACGAGCCAGAAACCCTGACCGTTCGTTGTTCATTTACTGTACTTGAATTTCTGACAAATCGTACGAATTCCGATTGTATAATTTCGAATACCTGAAATGTTAAATAATTTACATGGAAGTTCTTCATATACCTGTATGTCACTGGTGGAAAGTGGCAACGCTGAAGTTCTACCATAATGTATGGCCAGAAACATGCCAAGGAACTGTATTGTCTTCCCTCTTTAATATGCAATATTTACTTGACAATACAAATCAAGAATCTCATTTGCAAACGTGTCCAGTATTGCAATATACTTCAAATCACCTGGCGTGTTATGTAGCGTCAAATATGACAATGAAGGCCTAAATATTACCAGAAAACTTAATTATATATTATAACATACAAAAACCGCCACAAAATGTACAAATTTCAATAAACCAAACAGTTTCCTCTTCTCTGTTTGTTTAAGACAATATTGATAGTTTCAAATCCAACAAAAACAAAGAGACATGGTATGATCGGCCATGATAAAAATGTCTATCAAAGGCTAAAAGACAAATAATTATTATATTGTTCCTGTTTTAAGCAGATTAGTCGTTTTAATGTATTTCAAAGCATTAGTTGCTTATAGCAAATATTGGCATCACCTTTCGACTAAAATAAGTAAAAGAAAGAAGCACATTATAACATAAGATTGTGCTAATCTGTGAATGCGCCATAAACAACTATAAATCTAGCAATGAAAGTGGTTAAAGTACGATTTTGTGCATAATCATCACATCATTACTGAATTTGTCAAAGGGTGTTCACTTTGTATTTACCAGATATTTAACCATATATTTACCCTTTATGAACCTACAACTCTGTCATACTAAATTCAGGTAGGTCATTTTTAGGAAATTTATTAATATGTAAACTCGACCGACTCACTCATATACCGAATAAAAAGTCCAGACGAAAATTTGGTCAGTGAAATAGTATTTGAAGCAATACTTTACCATTACTTAAACCCCAAACCCACATCCCTTCCCCTTGTCTCTACCTAATATTATGAACCTATGAGTTAAGCATTAACTTTGGAAAAAACCTACTGCCTTTTAAATTTTATGATTGAAACGGAAGAATATGGTGTATAAATTGGCATCTCTAAAAATCTTTTGCACCGGTTTACTACGATAACGCTACATATGTGCATTGATGTACACATATACAGGATAATATCAACAATGTGCAGATAAAAATAGGCAAAGAAGCATCTGAGAAAAGAACTTTCGTATTTAAAAGTGTCATAATTTACCCGGAAATTGAATTGTAACAAATAATACAAACATGCAGACAACCGTGGGAAAATCACGATATTTTTTAAGTGCCATGGAAAAAATATAATAGGGCAAATAGTTCTGATGGACTCAATAAAATTTCTGTTAACATGATATACCGTTAGAGATAAGGAGAAGTAGATATGAGAGAATACTCATCAAGCACAAGAGAATTTTTACGGCTTCCACTATTATGGTGTTTTATTAACTTTATTTTTACTTTGAAACTACATTGCAATTGATTTATATATAACATAAGTTTATATTATATTTTAAGACAATTTCATCTTTTGTTGTTTATTAATGTGTCGCATTTACTTTCAGCCACTTACAGAAGGATACATCGCCATTGTGTTACCTAAGCTTAAAGACCATGAACAAGTTCTTAAAAAATTAAAAACAGAGGAAGAATACAAACAAAGAAGAGTTGATTTCTCGGGTGCTGGAGGGAGTTGAAATTTAATGATATCGTCTAGAAAAGATACCCGTATTGCAGTTCATAATCTTTGATCATTCTATTGATCAAGATTTTATAATTTGTTTGAAACACCGAATTCAGTAACTGAACGTATAAAAGAGTGGCATATTGTAAATTGAGTTATGCTTCCAAATTTAACAAGTTGCACAAGACATGACAAATGTTAGAATTACATAACTTAACTAAATATGTATCTGATGACGATATTATCTATGTATTGAAGAGTATGTTGAAGTAAATAAACCGGAATATATAAAGAACCTGAAGATGTAAAGTTTACAAAAATACCATAATATAAAGTATGAAATACATTTTCCTTTAAAGATTTTTGTTTTGAAAGCCCTTAAAATATCCCAATGGTATGATATATTTTAAAGGCGAACTTCCTCCTTATTATCCCTTTCGACAAGTCACTATTTTCAACAATTAATTTTTCACTTATATACCGGTACTTATATATACTTTCTATATATATATATTTATAATTCGTCTAAATATACATTCTTAGAAGCGCCTGTATTAAGTCTGTCTCATGTGAATGAGACAAAAAGATGACCAAAGTTACCGATTGTTTGTTGAAACACACGTGCTCCAAACGTATCAAATATGTTGTCAATCAAGAAATCAAGCATCTTGATAATTTCAATTTCAATTTCAAAGACTTTTTTATTTGAATTAGAGTGGATTTATTTTTTTACAAAGCATGATTTATCCCTCCCTAAAACAAGACATTACATTTATTATCTGGGTTACCCACTTCTTTTAATGAAACAAAGTTGGACTAATTGTTATAACCTTTCCTTAAATTCCTGGATTACCTTCACCCACGAAATCCACGAAAATTGGTACCCCATGAATAATAATGAATCCCAAGTACTAGTGTTAAGTGTAGAGAAGTCTAATGTTATTATACTACATGCATTGCAAGAGGAAAGAGACATAGATTGTAAGTACTCGCAACAGATTTTTGAACATTTGAGTATCCACATCTGCTTCAAATACCCTCTAAGGTAGGAAGTGTCACAGTAACGTTAAAACCCGGTTTTTGTTGCTAAAACATTTAGAAAGAGGTTTTCTGATGATCATGGTACATCCAGCAATATGATGTTGTTTGTAACGACACTTCGTATTTTTGGTATCCAGTACATTGAAAAAGGACCAATTTTTTAACCTATGGTTCAAATTCCTGGAGGAACATGGAACAGAAATATGAATGTTCAGGATTTCCTCTTTTGTAAGTGTGGTGGGAGTATATGTTGAGTTTCCAAGTGAACTGTCAATACTTGACTATTCCGTTATCAAGCAGTTTATGTAGTGTGAATTACACACAAAAATGATGTTTGGGTCTTTGAAAATTGATGTAGCATGTGTGTTCGTAGATCCATCCAGTTGTTTTATTTTAAATTTGATTTTTTATCAACGACCTGACAGCCTGAATTCATTCGGAAAGAGTATACATGTCTTCTTTTTGTCGTTTAATCCTCGACTGAATTCCTAGGATTTTAATGTTGTGTTTCTTTGATGGATATAGGCTCGCATTGTTTCGTTCGTTCGGTTAAGACATTTCGCACAGAAGTTGTTGTTATAAAGGGGGAACATGCACGGAGAAATCAGCAGGTTTAGACTGAAAACCGTCAATATTGAGATATTGCACGTGTTTATTCAAGTAATTGAAATTTTAGTCACAATAGGTGTATTATAGGTATGGGTTAAGGCAACAGTAGTTTACCGATGACCAAATCTCATTAATCAATTTAGAAGTCATATCAATGTAACAAACAAAAACTGAGAAGAATGTCATAAACTTAAAAGGTGGTAGATCGTGTGCGTCGACAGGGCAAGTGTATACTGCCATGTGTGCATCACATTCTATGCGAATCCGCACTCAGTCAGAATTTCACAATCGGTAATAGGCCACAATAGGTTAGATTACACTGAGAAAACAATGGGTTGAGACAAAGACAGGTCGTATCTGTCAGAAAAATCTTGATGCTGACCTAATATATATGTAGTTTGAATTTCAATTGTTTTCCTCGTTCCACTATTTTGTGTCGAGAGCACATCCCTGCTAATAAAGTTCCTAAAGTTTGAACATGCACGATCGTAACGATTAGTTCAGATACTGTGGATTCATTTATTTTCGTGAGTTCAGATTTTCGTGGATTGAGGGAAAATTGTAATATTCGTAAATTTCGTTGATGTAGATTTCGTGGTTTTTCTAAAGTCTGCATACAAACCTATAGAAAATTTGTACTTCGTTGGACATTTGAATTTGTGGTTCACCTTTACCCACGAAATCCACGAAAATTAGTATCCCACGAATAATAATCTATTTAACGCCATACGATGGGGCAGATAATATGTTACTACAGAGAAATTGGCAGTTGCCAATTGGAAAGTTTGAATCATCAGGTTTTTCATATATTCTAGTTTGAATTCGTCCATCTGGGGCAATATCTAGGAAAAGACCAAGATAAGAAGCAGACCTTCTAGTTGCGGTAGTATCTTTAATCTCAAGTTCACTGAGATATGTTAGATGCAAGCATTCACTTAAATGTGGATTATTGAGTGATAAGGACATTATCAATATATCTGAAAGTGAAAAAGTACAAATCAAGTCGCCAAATAGGGGTGTACAACTATACATTTAGTACCCCGTGGAATACCAACTATCTGTTGAAATATCAATCCACCTAACTAAAAAAATCGCCTGCTTTCTGGTGATACGATCTTCGGTGCATTTGTTTTTGGGATCAGTGCGGTTCTTTACAAAAAAGTTTTTCATGATCTAAAACGAGAGATTTGTATCTACGATACCCATTTTATGAGACGTATTCAATCTTTCAATTGAGAATGGGGAATAGTATTGTAAAGCGTAGAAAAGATAAAAAGTTTCGATATTACTGCAAAGTTGTAAAGACTTTGATTGCAGATTTTGCAGTAGATCTTTAGAATTTTTAAGACTTAACATAACTAACACCGCGAATTGAATATACCTCATCATAATATTCCTGAATGCAATCGTTTACTGTTAAAAGAATGATGTTAAGAACATTAGAAAAAATGCCTAGTCGAAAATCTTGACGACCTGGCTATATATCGTCCCTTATCAAATGGCAAAATCAAAAGCTCAAACACATCAAACGAATGGAAATAAAACTGTCGTCTTCCTGTCGTGGTACAGGCATTACCTTATGTAGAAAATGGTGGATTAAACCTGGTTTTAAAGCTAGCTGAACCTCTCACTTGTATGACAGTATTCAATATATCATTTGTTAAATAAACGGGAGATTTTTTTCATCGTCCTTCTTTATGTTAATACCAAAGGGGAGAAGGACGAATTTGTGATTTTCTAAAATATCCTCTTTCGTAATGAATGATGTAGGGGTATATGTTGGATTCAGTCATGGTCTATTGACTGAAATTTTTTCTTAGTTTACATGTAACAGTTTGTGATTTGGTCAGTTTAAGAAGGACCACTAGTGGTATGTCAATTATATTTGGTACGCAGTTGTATGAGCATTGGCACATCTCTTTTCCGTGGAGATTATTTGGCCCCGTCCCCTAAGTCATGGCCTATTAAGTTAAGAGTTTTGCTTATTTAACATGTTGAAGTTTGTTTGAGGTTAGTTAAAAGGGAACCACCTAATGATCATTCAATGGTATTTGGCTTGCAGGTGTATAAAGATTTGGTATTTTTCATTTCCACAGATGTTATTTGGCTCTGTACCTTCAATCATGGTTCATTAACTTGAATGGTTTGCATAGTTAACAAGTTAAAATATAGCTATTTTAATTTCATCATTTGCTTTATACGACCAAAATTACATAAAGATGAGACATATCTCTGTGTCAACAGTTTATTGCATATAATACAATTTTGTAAGATGTTTTGTCTGCTGAAACAACAATATAGTTGTCGTGGAGATATGATAAAGCACCCACAACCTCGGTTTTCTTAAAAGGTTAGAAACTCGTGTACTAATTGTACGTCTTATATTTGTATGCTTCTCTGAATGCAAAACCGACCATCTTTGATCCATTCAGATAAGGTGTCAAGTTTTGGTTCATCTGGCTCTCGCTTTACCCTATTTCTGGCATCGTCCTCAACCTAAGGTTCTCCAGTTGATGGGCTGGTGATATTTCGCGGGCATTTGGCTAACAACTCTGTAAGTTGTTCATTGTTTACGATTCCAATGTCTCTAGTAATAACATAACCAGCGGACAGATATTTGGTGAACAATATTGCTATTATTGAATGTCCCTTTCTAATTCATTAACGAACTTTACATCTACGTCTACGTCGAGGAGTATTGTTAAAAATATATAAGTAATATTCACCAAGCTGCAGGAAGGACTAGAAACAAGAATGACAAGTTTGTCATTGCAACCATAAGGTGTTGCACTTCTCGGTTATCGAATCCAGTAGTTTTTCTTTTATCTACGTAGGAGTGTTTCAAGATAAGAATTGTTATTTTTGTTGTATATCAACTCGCATGGAGTGTATATTTCTCATTTGCTTCGATCTGCACGTCTAATTTTTCAAATTTGTAAAAACACTTTTGTACATGGGACACTGACGAAGGTTATTTGTCCAGCCGAAATATTTGTCAACTCGATTTTATAACATCATCTTCAAATATTACTATCTGATTTTAGTACCGCTGCGCAAATCTTTTATATATATACATATGATAAATTTATTGATTCTTAACTATAGGGAGGTTTTGTTAGGCCTGTGGGAATTTAGTAAAACGCGGTATTACAGACGCAGCTTCTTGTGGTTATATTAACTATTAAGAAAACAAATCTAGAAATTGTTAGAATCTTTTGCTTCTCATTTGCTTCGATCTACGTTTTTTTTTTCTTTTTTTTTTTTTTTTTTGCTTAATAAACTTATTGGAAAAAGTTCGATTATATCATTATTGTTCATAATTTCACCTGGTTTTTATTTGAATGAACATCAATGTGTTTATCTACTTTTATGCATTGATATGCTGTACACATTAATTCTGGGCGTTGTATAAGATCGTGTCTTCATATTCTGTTTATTACGTTGTTTTATACATTAATTACAAATACAGCCATCGTTATAATATAGGACATCTTACTATTATATCAACAGGCTAAGTTTTCAATAACTGCGATCATTCTTTTATTGTTTATTCTGCTATTGCTTGTGCAAGTTTTGTTATCTGTTATACCGGTATTATAGATTTTAAGTGTTTTCCTGTACTTAGGGTGATTCCATGGTTTTAAATTTCGTCCACTGCACATAATGTACGCTTGGAGTGGAGTACCATGTAGATTATAATACATTTGG